AAGCATAACTGAAAACCTTTAAGGATGTAAAATCAACTATAGGACAGTGCAGCAAAATGAAACAGACAGAATGCGAAGGAGATCCAGCAAAGGCTACTTGCAATGGTTGCAGTAGGTAGAAGGTTTGATGCTCACTCCCTCCTACAGCAGAAACGGGATACCCTCTGTCACTTTAAACCTGACAAATCACTCAACATGGTCGACAAAGCAGCCTTGTCATGGATCTTGGTTGGAGATAAAGCAGGAACTGGTCTGCCAGAAGCTACATCCGAGAAATCAGCTGCTATTATCACTGGCATGGCTCTTGTACAGAGACTAGGAAAGCTGGAAACTGCATGAACATTTGGAGATTTGACCAATTCCTTTGTGCAGCAAGTGTTTGCTGATTATGCCAGCACACGCGATTGAGCTGACTTTGTCTTCAGTTGCTACATACCACCCTCCATTAACGCAGGCACAAAAATATTAAGGGCTCAAACTACCAGCAGATCTCTTCCAGTACCAGCATCATGGGATAGTTTCATATCCTTACCAGCAAACAAAGAAAACCTAGTTAATTTTCTAGGTGAAGACCTTGTTAAGCAATCATGCCAATGTTTCCAAAATGAATGAATGCTCATTGTTGGTAGTTTTGCTGATGGAAAAGCAGAGCACTCTGGCTCATCTGACATTTCCCAAGTGTATTCATATCAAGAAGAGGAAGACACAAGGATGCTCTCGCATGGTGAACATGCAGTCAGTCAGGGATACTCCTCTCTAGTATTCCCCTGCGATAACACAGACATATCGGTCCTTCTTTTATGGCATAAACTTTCATCCAAGTTTTGGATGAAGAGAACCAACCCAGTAAGATCCATTCCAGTTCATGATATTGTGTCAGAATTGCCTAAGCCAGTCCTTGCATCTCTAATTGGTGTCCGCAGCGTCACTGGTTGTGACACTGTCAGCTCTTTTAGCTGGTCACACTAAGAAAACTGCTTGGAAAATGTTCGTTCAACATCCACATCTATTGGCAGGTCTAGGAAGTAGGCCTGATGTTAATAAGGATTTGTGCAGTTGTGCAGAAAAATAGTTTTTTGTGTTGCTGTACAAGTTGTCAACATCTTTGACAACCCTTCTGGATGTAGGGTGAAATTATTCCATTAAGGAAAAGCTCTGAATAAACTTTCACCTACATACAATTCCCTTGTGCACCATGTACATACAGGCAATTATCAAAGTCTTAGTTGGCAAAGTGCGCTTGAACCTAATCCACCATTGCCATCACCTGACCAGCATGGTTGGCAAGTTGCAAATGATGGTTATATACCTATCATAAAAACACTTGAACCATTACTATCAGAATACCTTCAGATAATGAGCTGCAAGTACAAGACGAAATGCCAGGGACCAGCGTACTTGGGCAAGCCAGTTAATGCTCCCTGCACTCCTGGCTGCGACTGCTGTGAGACAACATGTTGCAATCCATATTTAACCATGGGGATTCGAAACAGATTCAGAAACAGATTCAAGTGATAAAGAGCGTTAAAAAACTGTAATTATCCATTGTATTAATATTATACTGTTGTATTACCATTGGATTAGACTATTGCATCTTCCTATTTAAAAACCCCAGAATTCTCTGATTAAAATCCAAAAATTTGTGTTTTTCCATGATTAACATTAAATGTTACTAATATATAGGTATCAGTTAAACAAAATGTTTTATTTGTATATTTACAATTTTTAAAGCAGTATGGAAGCCTGCCAGTGCCTCAATCATTATAATAAAAAAATTATAAATACCTACATATTTTGGCATTTGATTATGATTTTTTTTTTATCATGGAAAAGTAGAGTTGCTCCGGCCCCCTTTGCTCACAGAACACGGGTCCAGCTGCGGCTGTGCCCCCTCCCACTCCCTGCTGCTTTGTGGCACTGAGCAGCCTTGATATGTCAGTGTCCCTCACTCCTGACCCGCAGCCCCTGCCTACCCCCATCTTGCTGCCCACCCATACACCCTAGTCCTGACCCCCACCAGCCCTCCTGGCTCTCCTCACAAGCCCCCCTGAGCTCAGGCAGTGTCACCTGCATCCCCTGCCCTGCTCCTGCCTGCCCTGGCAGCATGACCCGCACCCAACCCACAGGGCCCTCTCCCAGCTCTGGCAGCGCCCCTTATTCCTGACCTGCAGCCCCCTGCCCCCCCCGAGCCCCGCTGGCGGGTTCCCCTAGCTGCCCTCCATCCCCAGCCCCCTAGTGTGTGGTGGAGGGACCCATTGCCCCAATGTATGCCACTAGCTCCTGGTGGCTGGGGGGCAAAAACTGCAGTTTTAAATAGGCTGTGGTTTTTGCCTCCTGACTGCTCAGCAGCAAATGGCAGGACACAAAGACCATGGTCTATTTAAAACAGTGGTTTTTGCCTCCCAGCCATCTGGAGTGAGTGGCATGTGTCAGGGCCAAAGGGCTAGTCTGCCAGTCAGTAGCGTGGGGCACGTGGGGAGAACTCCAAAATTAAAGGAGCTACTGCGCCATGAGCTGTGCTGTGATTTAAATCAGGTGTGAGGGAGACGTGTGGGGGGGGGCACAATGGGGGGAGGCACAACTCTGTGCTGCTCCTGCCCCACTGCTGCCAGGTCCTGGCTCTGGCTGGGCTGCAGCCTCCTAGCAGCCCTCCCCACCCAACCTCATGAGCCGCCCATTGAACCTCCTAAGAGCCTTCTGGCCACTGTAACAGCCCCCCAGGAACTCTCTAGCAGCCTCCCCACTTGGCCCCCAGCAGGAGTGCAGCAGGGTGGGGAGTCCCAAGCCCTGCAGAGGGCAGCCCACATCATCCCCCTGCCTGTGGGTGTCAGGGAGGGGGATGGGCAGCCATGCCCTGGCTCTGGCTAGGCTATAGCCCCGTGCCCTGCACCCTGCTGTTGGTGCAGAAATTTGAAGGGGCGTGTACCCATCCCCACATCTCCCCTGCATGTTGCCGGTGGACTTACCTGCATGGAGCTACTCCCACCATCCTCCCTGTCTATATTGTTGCATGTAGTACACCTACCCCACAGCCTCCGATTACCGTCCCCCTGCTGCTCCCAGTCCCAAGCAGTTGCTTGCAGGTTGGAACTGTTCCAGCCTGCAAGGGGAAATCTGTTGGGGGGTCTTCTGCTTTAAAGGGGAAAATCTTGTTGGAGGGAGGGGGGGAGGGTTGTGTTTTTCCACACGAAACAAAATCCGGATCCTTGCTAATAATGAACAAAACTGTAAATTCATGGCAGCCATGTTGGAGTCCAATATGGCTACCATGACAGAATGTTATAATTGATCTTGGTTCATGCAATGTTGGTTTTGTCATTGGAATATTTTCTAACCCTACTGGGGGCTGAAATATTAACCAAAACATGAATTCACAGTGACCATCTTAGATATGGCAACTACCCTCACTATTTGCCAGATTGGCAACATGACTTTTCTGACACAAGTAGATCACCTCTACCTGAACCATGCTATTGCCGCTTGTGGCAATGAGTTGCCTACAGGGCAACACCTTTACCCTTTTTTTCTTACCCTACTAATAGCAAATTAGTGAGCTAGGAAGAAGGCAATCAAAAATGCTTAAAAACAGAGACCTAGTTTTACTACTGCTTCGGGCTTGATCACATCTCCATCTGGACATGTTGTATGGATTGTTCTTCTGAATAATCCCTGAGTTATGCTGTTATTTTTACTGTAAGTGACAGGAACTTAAAAGGTGTTTTAAAACATCTGTCTCAGTGTTAAGTTTGTGCACTTTATGTGCTTGATGGTACTTTGTAGTAGTTGTCAACAATGTTCCCTCTAAGGAGTAGTGGTCTGTGAGCATACTGCTGCTTTGGTCCCAGAGCTGGCGGAGCCTGTGGTGGCAGGAGCCGCTCTTCCCCCATCCCTGTGCCCTGCAAATGAGCTGCTCACAGCTCCATCCCATGCCCTGCACTGGCTGGGGAACTACTCCACTCCCCAGCCCTGATGCCATGTGCCTCCTCACTCCCCGAAGCGATGCAAGGGTGCGTAGCAATTCCCTTGAGCTGGGGGAGCCCGCAGAGCAGTTCCCTGGAGCGGGCAGAGCCCATGCCAGCCCTAGCCCCCGTCCCTGTCCCCGCCGCTTCTCATGGAGGAGCTGGTGCCTGCCCTGCATGAGGAGTGAGGAGCTTACCTTTGGTAAGTGTTCGACACCGGCCCTGGTGCCTCTGCTGCACTCTGGGCCCAGCTCCTCTCTGGGTGGGTGTGCACCATTAAAATGTTCGTGCGCAGCAAGGTTTTTAATTGTGCACGGCCATGCATGCGCACGGCTTAGAGGGAACACTGATTGTCAGTGTACTGGTTTGCTGAGTGCTGTCCCTCAAGTCTCGAGAGATATTTGCCAGGCGTGATACTGGCTGAGCTAGAGCTGAGTGAGCAGAGAGCAGGAGGTTTTTGCTTAAAGAAACAGAGGGAGGAGAAAGGATGAGTCTGTTTGATGGGGTTGGCTTTGGGCTCATCCAAAGACCCTTCCAAGCACATGTCCTGAGCAGAGGAAGCCTTATACATTTCTTTAAATTTAGGGATTTTGTTTAAATGTCAGGCTATACTGTTGAAGGGTGTTCTGTCAAAATACTACTTTCATCTGAGGAGAAAAGTACATTTTCATCTGAAATTTGGTTTTTGTTCATACCCTGTCATTTGCTTTCCAGTCCATTTTTTTTGTTATGTTTAAAAAACAGGCCCAAAAGCCTCTAATTCTGAGCTCCAGCGAGTTCATAAAGTGGGAATCATGCTTTTGTGTCTGGACTAGTTCTGCCTGATATCAGTAATTTACTTTGCAGTGCTTTTGTCTCAACCCTTTTCAGTCCAGATGTTTTTTCTGTAGTTAAGTAACTCTTAGCATTTGGTGTCAAATATGGATTTTATCTCACCTCAGGGTTCTGCATGTATTCCTTAAAACTCTGCCATAACCATTTCCACATTGGGCTGCATAGACCACCCCATACCTATTTATATATTTTTTTTTCCTTTGTTAGATGCTGTGAATTCTCTCCTGTGAAGATTACTTATATACCATGAAGGAACTAGGACCTGTCTGGAGAGTGCTTGCATCTTCTACAACAGAGTTCACCAGAGCAAAGGTGGCACCTAAATATGAATGGTAACAACTGGACTGCTTGAAGATCATACTCAACTACTCAGCTAAGCTGTAAATGCAGAGGAAAATTAATTATTGGAGCAGCCAGGAAAGTGCTTATCCTTGAGCTTGTTGGAGCCTGGAGCATGCAGCTGTTATGGATGGTGGAAAGGACTCCTTGAGGGCTCTCACTCAGCAAAGGGGGCAAACTCAAGTTGTGTCTGCTGCTTCACCACTCTTCCCACACTCTCAGTCACACTAAATCCAAGCTGAGCTCTGTGAGCTGATGGATGAACTAGATGATGATTTTAAGGAACTTCGTGCCAACCTGTTGAGTAGGGTGAACAAAAAGAGAGGAGATGCTGAGGGAGAGAGGAAGGTTCCGAACAGGACAAGGGACACGGCAGCAAGGAGTAAGTTAAAAAAGTCCAAGCCAGCGGCGAAGAGCCAAAGCCAACCAGGAATGATGATGACCTGGCCAGAATGCTTGGACCCCCACAGGCAGGCACTAACACCCAAAAAGGAAGGTGGACCTCTGATCTGTGGAAGTGAAGGGACTGCTTTAGAAGATGGATGTGGAGGCCATCTCCCCACCATTCCATTGAACACTACAGCAGCTAACTGTAACCAGAACAGCCTGGCAGGTAACTCTTCATCTCCTTTCCTCGTTCTGAAATATATCTAGTAGAGAATAGCCTGGAGCAGTGTATTTCTTTTAAGCACATAGCCTTTGAGCAGGAAAACAGGTTATGCACTTACCCAGAGAATGCACTTACCAGAACTTACTGAATGTAAACACTGCTCATGAAGGATAGAGCACTGTCCTTTTCAAGGGTTCTCATAGCCAGTTTCATGGCTGCTATTAGAAACCTTGAAATGAGGAGAGATGACTGGAGATAGTGTCACAGCTGCTATCTCCCCTTGTTTTCAAGGCTTCTAGTAACATGCCTCTGAGAGCTGCTTTCCCTTTACTGTTTCTAGCACCAATTTTGCAGTTGAACACAGTAAAATTACATTACCAAGTAGACAGCGGGGCTGAAGGATGCTTAGGCACCTGAGGGGTTTCTACACATAACTGACATGCAAGTAATCAGTGTTTGTTCTGATGTAACCAAGAGACAGACAGTTGGGATTGGCTTTGTAGTTAAGCAAATTATGCACTTAGCCGGTACACACACAAGTAAAGTATATGGTACTGGAAAGACTCTAGTATTCATAGATTTCATAGACATTAGGGCTGCAAGGGACCTCGGAATATCATTGAGTCCAGCCCCCTGCCCAAGGGGCAAGAAGTCAGCTGGGGTCATAGGATCCCAGCAAGATAAGCATCCAAATTTATCTTGAAGACATTCAATGTAGGTGCTTGAACCACCTCTGGTGGCAGGCTATTCCAGATCTTGGGGGGCTCGGACAGTGAAGAAATTCTTCCTTATGTCCAGCCTGAAACAGTCTTGCAGGAGTTTATAACCATTTGACCTTGTCATCCCTTGGGGTGCTCTGGTGAACAATTGTTCGCCCAGATCCTGGTGAACACCCCGATAAACTTATCGGTGGCCATCAGATCACCCCTGAGCCTGCGCTTTTCCAGGCTAAAGAGTCCCATAGTTCTCAGCCTGTCATCGTAGGTCAACAGAGGTCTTTTGAAGTTCAAGTGGAGCAGTGTATGGGGCAGTCCAGGAAGCTCTTGTTGTGCATTTGCTAACTCTGGAGGTATGATCCCCTGTACTTTGGTAATTGGGCTGAAGCTTCTGAGAGTGCTTGGTAGCTCCATTCTGTGGTGGGACAGGCCTCCTCAGTCAGGTGAAGTGTAGAGACAGGATGATTCGCCCGGGTGATGACTGGCAGTGTTTTACTGACGTGTTGGCCTGGCAGCTTCCTCTGCCTGTTGCATCCTATTTCCCATCCAAAAACCCTTCATTCCTGCTGCTCAGTGTCCCTGGGCTCCATGACTGGTAGAGTTTGAGAGTCAGATTCTGACGTGGTGGAATTTGCAGGAGGCAAGATGATGGACTGGGATTCATATGACTGGGGTTCTGTTTCTTGCTCTGTTGACCTCAGGCAAGTCACTTACCCTCTTTGTGTTTTTCTCCACTTGTAAGATAAGGAGGTCAGTGTCATTAACCTTAGCAAAGCACCTCTGATTGAAAGTGCTAAGTAAGAGCTAGGGTTATGATGATGACTATGTGTGCGCTGAAATTGTGCACCTCTTTCATACAGAATCAGCATGGTGTGAAATCAAACATTGCTCAGACTGCTGCTGATGGGGGCAAAGCTGCATTGGTAAGGCAGATGTGCAAAACCTAGAGGGCGCTAATCACTAGGACTGTTTTTATTTTCTCACTAGACTGTGTCCTGAATAGCAGCTCCCAAACAACGTCATCCTTTCCTGCTGCAGGAGAACCAGAAGCCTCAGTCTCATCCCCTTCAAAGACATTGCTGGTTTCAGGATCCAGGGTCCGGGTAACAGAGTTGGTGTTGGAAAGGATGCAGCAGTTTAAGCGAGTAGCCCCAGAACAACTGAAACACACTTCTGACAAGAGCTTGCTAGAGCCTGTAGCTGATGAGAAGGTTCCTGATGCAAACCAGGGGAAGAATGAGCTGGGGAATGGTATGTCCTGTTATCCAGAGAAGGAGTGTGATCTAGTGGGTAGAGTGGCATACTAATAGATAGCTCATAATTCCTGGGCCTTAGTCCTAGCTCTGCCAATGGCTTGCTGTGTGACCTTGATTAGTTCACTTAGCCTTGCTTTCCCTCTTTGGCTGCCTGAACTTTCCTCACAGGATTGTTATAATGTGTAGTTACTGTATTTGCCATAGCATTAGATCCATGAGGGGATGGTACTAATTTAAAGGTTTCTGGGAAGCAAAAATTCTCTTCAGAGTCATTTCCCCCCTTATCTTTCCCAGGTAGCAATAGCACTAAACACTAATAGTGCATAAGCCTTATGTAGTAATTTTGATCAATAGATCTCAAAGTATTTAAAGTGAACTAGTCAGTTCTGTGCAATTTTTTTGTGTGGGACCATTCCAAACCAAGTTTATCTGGGCTCTCTGTGGAAATTAAAGTATCCTTGGGTTTTACATGAGAGCCCTGGTTTGTCCAAGCAGCCATAGTGAAAGTTCACTGTCTCCTCTGCTGTAATTCATTAGCTACTTGCTACCGTCTGCTCCAGAGGTGACTGTATTTCAGTGGTGCTGTGAGGATTACTTTGCAAAATATTATGAGATGCTTTAGAATTGGAGGTACCAGAGAAAGTTCAAACTTAAATTTTATGTACTATTTTAATAAAATAGTAATTTTTGCATATAACAAATCCTGGTCTTTTATAACAAGAGCTTAGTGATCTGTTTGAAACAATCTCTGTTTCATCCTAGGAGTCAACCCAGATCTGCCAACAATGGAACAAGACGTTGCTCTGGCATTGACTCTCCAGCAGGAGTTCAAACAGGAAGTTCCTAGAAGTCTGGAAGAGTCAGGATTATTTTTTTGTCAAATCTGTCAGAAGGACCTCTCAGCCATGAACTCAACACGACGGGAGCAACATGTTAACAGGTAAAAGGCACCCTCTCTTGCCTCCTATGCTAGACACCCCTAGCTTAGCTGTTATAGAAAGGGTAAAAGCTGAGGCTGTGATTAACCTTCCAAATGTAAAGAAACAGAAGCTCCTGCAGGGACACAAAAAGAACTGACTTCCTTGTGCCGTGATTCTCCCTGGTGCATTTGCCATATTTAACAAAGTTCAAACTGCACCAGGTGGAGGTGCACTGATACATTGGTCCGATATCAGATTGGCACTGATATAAAGAAAATTGACTGGATCAGAAATCGGCTTTTTTTGCCTGATGTGGCTAATCATGTGGCTGATAAATGACCTGTGCATGCGCACAGCCACAGTACAGCATGTAGGCAGCGAGGAGCACAGCCCAACAGCATGGAGAGCTGTATCTGGCTGGTAAGTCTGTTGTGGTGGAAAGGGAGGGGGAAGGGAAGGGGCGCAGGGGAGGGACAGATCAAGGCCCCCACAGTGAGGGGGAGGGAGTGGGGCTGGGCCTGGGGCTGGAGCAGGTGCTGCCCAGCTGGAGCAGGGCAGGGCAGGGCATGGGACTGAGTTGCAGCTTGTCCAGGGGGTGCAAGAAGGGAGGTGGGGTGGCAGTTTCTGCTGCTGCATGCACCCCAGGAGGGCATGGGGAGGTGTGCCCCCCAAATCTGTGAAGGGCAAGGGTGGGCTGCTGCTGCAGGCTGGGGCCAGGGCTGCGCCGGGCTGGGCTTGGGGCAGGCATCAGCACTGGGAAGGAGGGTTGGGGGGCTTATGGCAAATTCTGAGGTGGCTGCATCCCCCCCCATAACTCCCCTCCCAGCGCCATTGCCATGCACCCCGAGCGCAGCCTGGCCCAGCTCCTTGCTGGAAAGAGCCCAATGCTGCCCCGGCCCCAGCCCACAGCAGCAACCCACCCTGTCCCACCCCATCCTGCATGCAAATTGGGGGCATACGCCCCCTGTGTCCTCATGGGGTGTGCACAGTGGCAGGAGCTGTCCCCATGTCCCCTGGACGAGCCGCGGCTCTGTCCCATGCCCTGCCCCACCCCAGCTAGGCAGCAACTACCCCAGCCCCACTCCCTCTCTCACCGCAGGGGCTTTGATTTGCCCCCCACACACACACCTGTTCCCTGCCCTACCCCCTCCTCTTCCACCACAACAGACTTACCAGCTGGACACTGCTTTTGGAGCTGCGAGCCTGCGTATTGGAAATCAGATAGGTATTGGCCGTTATGCCTCCTTAAAAATTGGCTATCGATATTGGCCCCAAAAATCTCTATTGGTGCACCCCTAGTACCAGGACATGCACTTACCTGAAGCAGCAGTATTTTGAGGACAGGAGAAGAGATTACTTCTTTCAGAGGCTGATTTTTGTTGAATGGTGGCTTCAGAAATTGATCAGGCTTTTGGGCTGTTAGAACTTTCCTTGAGAAAAAGATTATGTGATGAGACAATGATCTAATCAAAAGCAGATGCAGGCATACATTAAGTATATTTTTAACATGCCCCATGACATTATAACCTCTGCGTACATGTTTTCTGTCATTTTTAGCTCATAGCTCCTAGAGGGGGGAGGGATTTGCAGGTGTGTTAGACTGTTTTTTTCTCCTCAGGTATAAGATCTAATTGTACCAGCTCTTCTTCAATGTGGTTTAAAGGCATTCATGTAGGTGGATTATAACATACTAATAAGAGCAGCCCCTGCTGCCTTCCACAGGTGTCTAGATGAAACGGAGAAATCACAGGTGTCCTCCTCCAATATCGCACGTGTCCCTGAGTGTCCCATCTGTGGGAAGCAATTCCAGATACCCAAAAGTCGAGCCAGTCACTTGAAACACTGTGCTGTCAAGATGCAGGTCCCTCCCCAGCTGCTTCTCCAGGCAGTGAAGTTGCAAGCTTCATCCCTCAGTGAGATCCTTCCTCCAGCACCCAGGTGAGGTGAAGCAAATAAGAGATATTAGTTGCTTCCTTTAGTTTGAGAGATATTGACCCCACCCACACATGTGAACTCTGTACAGATCCAAGGAGAGTGCACACAGTGCCTGGGCTGGGAATCCAGAGGAAAGCAGGCAGGCCCAAAACCCAGCCACTTATTTGGAGAAGGTGTTTGAATTGAAGAGAGCACATTGAAGGCAATCATGGTGATGAATTTGATAGAGCAGTTCACTAATGAACCAATAGAGATGAAACAAGGATTAAATAGTCTTGCACTAATATGTTGGAAGTCAAAGATACACTAGCTGAGGTGGTAACGAAAGCTGAATGGTCTTTTTGAGTTTTTTAGATTTACTGGAGCTTATGCTTTATGCTAGTTCTCCTCAGCATCCTGACTTCCAAAGCTTCAGTTATTTGGCTCATGGCTATGTCAGGGAATGCACACCCTGTACATTGACAAAAGTAGGGAATATATGTAAGAATTAGGGACATAAGGGTTTCCTAATCCTGGAACCAGGAATTTCTCTAAGTAGAATAGCTGGAGGGTATAGCATACCTTGTCTCTGGTCCAGTTAATTAAAAAATGTTGCCTATTGTATTTCAGCACTCAAGTCAGCAGGTCAAAGCGAAAAGGTGGCTCCAAAGAGCAGGCAAAAAAAAAGCCAAAGATGTCCAAGGCAGAAACTGCGGATGAGGACGTGCTGGTTGCCATGGCAATGTCCCGATCTCTGCAGGAGCATGAAAAGCAGAAACAAGAGGAATCTGTAACAGGTGGTAAACCGGAGAGCGCTCTGCCAATCAAGTGGAAGCCAGGATCAAGTAGGTGCTGATGTGACTGAGTAGCCAGCAATTAGAGGACCAAACAGTCTGCCCTGGGCCAAAAATGTACTAACATGCATGTGGATGGCCACCCTACCTTTAAATTGTTTACCCTATCAGTGCTTAAGCCACTGATTCTCACCCATGATCCTTTGAATGGTGGTGGAAAGTATGAGGAGATGAACAGAGCTGCTGTGATTTGCACTTTGGAATCAGCTTGGGTACTAGAAGCTTGGTTAACTTTGTTAGTGCCATGCTCTGCCTGGGATAATTAGCCTTGCTGAGAAGTAGAGTATATTAACTTAGGTGAATGGCTGAACAACATGGCTTGGCTGTTTCTGGTACCCAAGCTAGCTCAGGTATCTCTGCATGGTTTTGCATTGTGCTATGTGGAGATACCAAGAGAGGTAAACAGTGAAATCTGCTGCCTGGGGCTGTAATTTTTTTCAGCAGCCAGGGCCCCCAGCTGATCATTGCATTGGCAGTTTGACATACAACTGGGAGATGGTTGTAACATCTATAAAATAGAGCAGATTGCATAGCAAGTTAGGGCTTAGAGAAATACCCAGTATGTTGCAAAACAGTGCACACTAGCAGCTCTAGTCCCTGGCTGCTGTTTTTCTGTAATTAAGATGCCATTGGCCTCAGGTGGTCTTGTAGCGCTCTGCCTATAGACTGCATTTTGGCTTCTTGCACCTGCAGCTTTAGGAGGAACTGCTGTGCCATGCCCCTGTACACGGTTCTGTAGGTTATCTCGGATTTTATGTCTCTTTTTTTTTTTAAGAGAAAAAAAGTCGTAAGAAGCTGTCCCTTGCACCTCCACCGTTGTTACTTCAAGATCCAGAAACATCCTGTAAACAGATTCAAGACCGGGTGGCCATGCTGCTCACTGAGGACGTGGAATTCTCCTGTACCCCTCCACTCCCCTTCAGCAGGATTCTGGAGGATGAGCCAGAGAAAACAGAGTGGCTTCTGCCATTGCCCAAAGATAAGCGCTGCATTTTGTGGGAGTTTAGTGCTTTGACTGGACCCTGTGACCCTGAAACTTTCTACGCAGCAGGATTAACCCCTCCAATTTTACCTTGTAAACCTGTGCAGGTGAGGAGTCCTATTCCTTTTCTCTACTATTCACTCACATCCAGGTGTTCACCCACATCTAGGTGTTCCTTTCCACCTTGGGCATTGCCACCTTCACCCCTGTCTTTGCATAGCCAGACCTTGTGTTCTTGAACTTTCAATTTGGAAATCTCCTTTTGGAACTAAAGACAAGGCACCTGAAGCTCAGTGTAGATTGTTTTTTCTTTTACATTTCAGAAAGTGAAGCTACGTAAGAATGAAGGGTTGTGAGTTGAGGGCTTCTCACCTATTCGCAGTGAACCTAGCTGAGGTTCACTTGATTGATTTTTCTCTTGCTATATCTTCTGTCTACCTGAATAATGGTTCCAGAGCATATGGAGCTAGACTGTTCTCAGTTGTGACAGATGACAAAACAGGGAGAAGTGATCTTGGGTTGCAGCAAGGGAGGTTTAGGTTGAATATTAGGGAAAAACTTTCTCACTAGGAGGATGGTGAAGCGGTGGAACAGATTACCTAGAGGTGGTGGAGTTTCCATCCTTTGAGGTTTTTGAGGCCTGGTTTGACAGAGCCCTGGCTGGAATGATGTAGTTGGGGATGGTCCTGCTTTGAGCAGGAGGTTGGACTAGATGACCTCCTGAGGTCCTTTCCAACCCTAATTTTCTATGATTCTGTTTAATCATCCAGCCTGGGATTAGGTTACAGCTTTGTTTTGTGAATAAATATATATTTCAGTAAAAATATGGCAAACATGCTTAAAGTACAGCACTCAAATGTCAGCTTTGCCAAATCTAAGGTTGCTCCCATGACCTTCACTCTGCCCTTGGCCCAGTACGTGTTAGAATACAATAATTAAATCTCATAGTAATTTTGTCACAGGTCCCCCGTCTATTTTGTGGCACATTATTTAGTTAAATGATGCACAGAACCAGAGAGAACTCCTTCAGAGCTCTCTCATATTTCATACTTATCCCCCAAGAGGGATAATTTCACTTTTCTTCCTTTCACTTGTGCATCACCTTGAGTTTAATCCAACCACTGAGCCATTCCTGAGCTATGTGAACACTTAAGACAAGAACCAGTTTATTGTTTCCCTCTTCAGAGTCAGAAGTCAGAGACTGTTTTTTCATTGATGGGATCTGACCAACCACAGCTAATCCAACAACAGCCTGTCATCAGCCATCCTACTCCTGCAGAACTTGGGAACAAGCTTTCTGATGAACCTCAAACTGGCCCCTGTGAGGACAGCCCCAGCCGCAAGGATGTTCAGATTCTGCAGGACTTGATTGAGCTGGCTGGGGAAGGACTCACTCTCACCCAGTGGAACCATGATGTTCACCTCTCCCATACAGAGGAGCAATCAAGTAAGTGTTGGCAGTTTTGGTCTGTACTTCTACACTGATTGTATTGAATCACATTAGCCAAGGAGAACTGTGCCTGCTCAGTCTGGCACAAGCAATAGCACGTGCACCCCCTGAGAGCTTCAGTGCGCCTCCTGACAGGCCGCGTTCGCCACTTAAGCAATGGGCGGGGGGACAGGCAGGAGCGTTGGTGGGCCCCACCCCGCCCCATGAGTGCCAGCCGGGGAGTGGGCTTCGCAGTTGGCCACAGGGGGACCCTTCCCCTCCAGGCTTTGACTGGCTGCTGGAGGGGGGCACGTGCCCCCCCCCAACTAAGGTGGCACCAGTCACCCATGGGCATAAGAGAGGCTAGGCCAGCATCTGCAGAGAGTACTGCTAGCTGTTGCTCTTCCCACTGGTTCCTGAGGCCCTGGTCCTTGTTCTCCATCACCTGCCAGTTTTTGACACATTTATCTAGGCTTAGGTCTGGAGCTCCTGGGGCTGCTGCTGCTACTGTTTAGAGTCAGCAGCAGTGCAGTGAGTATTGGTCAGGAGCCAGGGCTAGGGTCTAAGATTGGGTGCTAACGTGAGTTTGGGACCCAGATGGGGGAAGGGCAGCAGTGAAGGTCAGGGATGGGGGGCATGGGCAGCAGTAGGGGTCAGGTATTGTGGGGGGATGGGCACCAGTGTGGGTCAGCTCGTCACTGCACACTGTGGAGAGGGGCG